TGTTCTTCCAAGTGTTATCGCGCGCGATACTAGCACAGTTGGGAACAAATACCCCTTTATCCACGGGCTTCAATTCACAAAAAAGAATGATTTGACGAGCTTCTGCCTTCACTCAAAAAATGGGTGCAGAATGTTTTGCTCTTGGGTCAGAGCAATATGGGCAAGAGCTTCTTCATGAAACGGCTCCTTGCTCACGTTCGTTTGAGAAGGCTGTACGTCATTTCGAACACTCCGCTGATCAATATATCCAACCTAACACGGTCTTAAAGCATTATTCCGTCATGCCTGAATCGATCGAGGATACGAGTATAGAACCGGAATCCTACGTCATCATCGACGACATCCACGTCATGAATCTCAAATGCGGAACGCAGAGGGAATGCCTCTATAAGTTCTTTACGATGTATAGCCATCATCTAAAATTGAACGTCTTCTTCCTCTCCCAGAGCTTCAACAACATAAAGGACATGAAGGTTAACACAAACATTTTCTATCTCTTCTGATTCACGGATAAGTCGAACGTGAAGCGGTTTCTTAATTCGCTCTTCGGCGGCACGGGCAATAAACAGGCTCTCATCTTCAAACTGTATGAGAAACTTTTGACCCGCTGCGAGCGCCCGATCCTCGCTATGGACTGCACCAATCAGCGATTCGCTTACTATTGCGACGAAAAATCTTTTGCGGTGGACTTTCAGTAAAAGCTTTGCTTTCTCCGTCATTACCAGAAAAATCTGAACAAGAATTAGAGAAAGAAGTTCGGGAGGGATATCACCAGATTGTTTAGCGTATGTTTGAAGAAAATGGAACATATTCGAGTCCGGATCGTCGATGGTCTACCACAGCGGCTTGAGCGGGTGGCGGATGGTTATCTGTCGGCCTTCCTCATCCCAAAGGCGCGGCGGCTGGAGGTCCTCCAGTTTATCAAGAGCCAACCGAGCACATTATCAAACGGGCTAAGTCCTTTATGGAGGTCTTGGGTTATCTCCCCGAAGGGGCCCGAGCGCTGGAGCACCAAATTGCCACCGGAATTTCATCTCCTTCCTGTGCAATGCATTGCAGTATATACCAAACTATCTCCTTGCTAAGTTGAGCTTGCTGGAGCTAAAAAACCACCTAAGCGTAAAAGAGCTCTATGCCTTGTTTGAGGGCCACCCTGAGCTTATCAATGAAAATTCGGTCCTGAGTGCGGTAAAATCCAGGTTGCTGAACTATTCTGAAGATACAGGCCAAGTTCGCGACAGCGTCGCTGATGTCCGTTTGAAAAACCATTTCGCGGCGGTCACTACAACCGCGCCTTCTCTCTAGACTCGGAAAGAGGGGGAGTTTGATTGCTTGCTGCTGCTCGTCTTTGGCCGCTTTCTGGCGGGCCAGAAAATTTCCGAGGCCTTTCTCAAAAGCAACTATTTCACTCCACGTGCGCAGCTAGTGCAATTGTTTACGGAAAACCCTCAAGGGCTTGAAGCAAATCTCAGGGAGCATCAGGCGGATCAGGATATGCGTCTTGCCATCGTGCCTGACTATCACGTGTTTGCTAATAAAGTAAACCAACAGTTTCTCAGCAGGTATCCCTTTGAGGTGGTCGCTAACGCCGTAGTTGACTTCGGCCATCCCAGTCTCTCCTGGCGAGGTTGAAGTTGCAGGAGATCAAACAGCATGCTCTTGCGGTCCCGGGTCATGTCAGAAGTTCGGTGATTTGGTGGCCTTGCTTGAGACCTACTCCAAAACACCCGAGAGCAATTTTATAAATTATGATCGTCATTTTATGCCTGGAGGCGTCAGAGGCAAGATGACCAGCGATGCTGCCTTTATTAATGCCGCTCCTCATTAACGGGAGCCGCATCATTAGCAAGTGTCTTGCTATATCGAACGCTCGAGGCCTTGTTTGAATGTTTCATGGACATGGCATTTTGGGTGACTACTTGGGAGAAGACGGCGGCGGCTTCGGTGATCAGTGATCAGGAGGAGCAGCTTGCTCGTTTGCAGGATGCTGTGGTGCAAAATGAAACTAAAATTGGGAATAAGGATACTGAGGGCACTTTCTCTCATACTGTCGCGCAGCTGAAGGTAAACAAGCTCGACCTCCATGGCGTTGATGACCGTTTGGTTGGTTTACCGAGAATTGCTACAGGAACGTTGCCTGATCTCGTACGACAGGACGTTGTGGTGGCGCGGTTTGGCGAGGGTGCGAATCTGAAGAATGGCAAGATACAGATTCAGATTCTCTGGATTGAGAGGACTGAAAACAAGTGGTATCATATGAGCAGCGGTAAACTGCAAGAGGCTTTGGGTTGGAACTTCCATCTCTTCTGGCGGGGTGATGGAACATTTCTTCTCACTCGCTATGCCGCGGTCCCGCTGGAAGTCTCGGACCACCGGGGCACGTACGGATACAATTGAAGACATACCTATGGGGTGTATTATTTTGAGTTCCCCTAATACATATCATCTGCATGGCGTTAGATTTGTGTATGACCCAAGCAGTCGAGATTTGGCTCCAAGCAAGGAAACCTCCTGTGACGAATTTAACGCGCTTCCGCTGCCAATACGATGCCGAGCAAGATCCACCGAACTCGATCTCTGTATGGGAATAGGCTTTTGACCGCCCCACTCGTACGCAGCTGGAGACCGTTCTCACCAAGCTCAGGCCGCCAAGCGGGTTAAGTATCGTCGTTCCGATGGTGCTGTGAGGAGGGTGGGACGCCCTCCTATGCGTATTACTCTGCAGGCGGAGAGGGGGGCCGGCGAGATGACATTCCTTTCACGAGAAAACATGAGCCCAACAAAATTGACCTGCTCAATGTGTGACTTCATAGCTCAGTTAATCAGAGCACTGCACCGGCACCGCAGAGGTCATGGGTTCGAATCCCGTTGAGTCACCTGAATTTTTCAGGCTCATGAGACAATTGCTTAAATTGTCCAACAAAGTGCGAAGATCATATCTTCATTTAATTTCAAACACCGCACTGCATAAAAACACTTTCATATTATGCTAGCATAATAACAAGAACGTACGCGAGCTAGGGCTGGGGCGCTTAGATTTGTGTATACTCCTTTTCAAACTGTGAGGTGCGCCAGAATTGGTGCGATTTTTGTCGGGACCCATGTATACACAGTACGAAGTAATGTAAACGAACTAGGGCTGGGGCGCTCAGATTTATGTACGCAGCCTCCCAGACCGGAGTTGCGCCAGAACTGGCAGTATCTATACAACTAGCCCTAAGGCGCCATACTATTATTTACTTTATCATAAACAAATTTTTGGGGCTTTTTAGTTTATGATCATTGATCATTCATTCATTGGACAGTTATACTACACATTGCTTAAGATTTGAAAAAACTAACATTGATTACATGAGAAGCTGTTTACTATAACCTGTGATTTTGAGTCTTTTCTAATCCATGAAGCTTTTTATTTTGACAATTTGACTGGAATGGTATTAAACCTGAGTATTTCACATACATGAAATGTTGTCCCATGTCACATAATGTCCCCTTTTCTAACTGAACGCCTCATGTAGAGATGTCAAGGTGTGTTGATCTACGGCTCATACCAGACTGTTTGCCATAAGTTACAAAGGGCTATTGATGTATGAAAAGCATTTTCTATAAAGTAAAAATGTCTTCCTATGTATGCAGATAAACCTTGAAATTTGGCAAAACAGCAAAGTATTTTTCATGATCACTAGGTTATTTTTCTGATGATCATTATAATTTCTAAACTAAATTATTTCACATTTACATTTAAACGAGCTTTGATCATATGAAAAGATATTTATCATAACCAGTAAGCATGACACATGAACCAATTTTAACATTCATGTAATTATATAATTAAAGACATGTTGGTTACATTCTGTTTGTATTTGCAAATGCAATGCTACTAGTGATTGCTATATAGCACACCTTGCATATACTTACAGAAGATAATAGTCTAGTGAAATGCCTAATAAACATTGATGGCATTAAGCTGTCCTTAATTGCAAATTTCACTCTGATAATTTTTGCTTAATCTTTGGAAGAAAAAAATTTTGACTTTTTTTCAAAAGGTGAATTTGCTGGCACTGTATGTGGAGATGGGTAAAAGGTTACAATAAACTTGCATGGTTTGAAGTCTGAGCTTTTCTATATCTATGAACTGTCCTTTGTAGTACCACATTTCTAACTTGACTCATTACATAGAGGTTTCAATGGGGGTCTTAGGTGGGTCTATGCCTGACAATTTGGTAGAAATTTTTAAAGACAATGTCTTTTTTGGAATAGCATTATTGTAAAATAAATTTTACGTTCCTACACATGCTAATGATCCATATATTTGGCATGATAATGAGCCTAAATATTTGGCAAAACATTCAAGTATTGTTCACTTTATTTTTGTTGGAAAAAAACGTAAGCAAAATGTGCTGTTTTTACGCAAAAACGATGCCCACAAAATACATTTTGTATTGCTCTAAAAAGCTGAAAATGGCAATTTCAAGGCTCTGAAATTCAAAATTTCTCAGGGGAGAATGCCTCAGACACAACCCACCCCACCCCTAGGTGCGGAGCGCCTCCAACGTTTTATGACTGATGTTTGAAAAATCCTAGATCCGCCCCTGTGCGAAATGATCACAATTTTTGAGCTGATAAAAATTTGTTTGTAACAAAACGATAATTTCAACTATAATTGAACTAAAGCTACATTTTTACTATGATTTTCACGAATGAACTTCGACTTCTTGCATTGAAATTTTGTACTCGTATACATAGTTCAACTTAAATTGATGAATTTATTTTTAAGGTAGATCAACGTTTTGACATGCATGACATAATTCAACTTTATATTGAAGTCAAAACGATGTCTAGTGTGCTTATCGGGACACCTCTTCTTTATGTAATCAAAATTCCAAAGTAATATGAGTGCATAATTGACGAAAAACCGCGAGTTGTATCTTTCTCAAACAACTTATTCTATATATATGATCTATATGTTCATACCAATTTCCAAACATGGTTATACTTACCTATAACGTTAATATGAACATAGCATGTTGAAGTTTTTCCACCATACAGAAAGTGCTTGTACGGAATTTCGTGCTGTCCTATTAAGAACAACTGTGGAGAACTAATGTTCGGCTTTTCCTCTCCTTCTTTTATGTATTTATGAGAACAAGTGAAGTTTTCCGGTTCACTCCAAGATATATTTGCTACTCGTTTCCAAATTTCGAGCATTTTTCACGACATTTTTGCACACCAACATTTACCTGAAAAATTTTATTTGAAAAATAAAAATAGACATGCATGGTCGTATTACCATATGTAGCAGGAGAGTGATGTATAACAAAGTCGTTCGATCTGCATAAGAAACAGACCATGACAAGCTACATTAACGATGAACGTAGCCACGGAATAAAACTGGAAAACAGTTTAATTTCTATTTTTTAGACTAAAAGCCAACGACTTAATCATTTGATCTTGCTAAACTTGACTCTTTAGTGAGGAAATCCATGTTTCTGATACAGCAATGTTACCAATGTACGTAGGTCTGCAGTTTTGCATACGCAATAGATATGTAGAAAAATACAAGTATACCTTTTTCTACCTTAGGTTTTTGCAAATTAAATCTTCTCCAACAGTAAACTTTTATATGAAAGTACGTATGTAAAGGCAAATGTAAAATATATAGATTACCTTCAAGTGGACAAATTTCACTGAACATCCTGAATCGTTCCAAAAGATAATTTTTCTCTTCGATGCAACCATTAGTTAAAGACAAATTTCCGCACCTTTCTTCCGATTTATTTTTTTCTTGAACAAACACATTCCATTTATCTTCACAAAATTCAAACTTTTTGTTCCATCCCGATTTGACGGCCAATTTAAGAGTCACGGCCAGCATCAACCACAAGATGACAACAAAACGCATCATTTTTTATCCTTAAAACTGCAATTGTATGGAAAATCATAGCTGCACAAGTTCGATGATAGAACACTGAAAACATACAACTATTATTATCGTAAATATCGAAATATCGAAGCATTTGGTCGATATTTGGTTTATCTGTTTTTTATTTGCTGATGGATAAAAACTTTAAATGCAAACCGCAAACGCAGAAATTATATACGTCAATCCATACACATCTCCTTGTATCTCTCTTACAAGCGCGGAAATTAAGCCTTGTTTTTAGAATTTATTGGTTTTACAGCACACACAAAAGTGGATTAGAAATTGTTTTTGGAAATGAATAAGAAATTTGGGTGGTAAACATTTTTTGGTGATGAATCTCATCTTCATCACGAATATTTTTTGCTGTAGATCATGTTTGTTTATGCATACAGTATCATCTATTATATAGTAAGGAAAATATCAAAAAATTGATGTTGTTATTGATTTTTTTTATATGTCGTCCGCCGTGGCTTTTAATAAGGGACAGCATGAAGAAAATTAACTAGTCAGCTTAAAGCTTTGTTTATATTTCGCTTACTAAATCTTTATCTATTTCTAAATCTTGTGTATGAATAGGAATACCAAAACATATTTTCTAAATTTTAAATAGAAACGGAGTTTTTTTTTCATAAACTTTTTAAAACTGTTTATTCCGTCGAAAAATTACGAATACAAATATCTAAATACAAAAACAAAAAAGTAGCACAGATCAGCTGATAACAACTAAATTAGAATTACATTTGCCTATGCTTCAATCTTAAGTTTGATCATAAAAATGTTCTGTCCTTATAAGAAACAAGCTTAAATGATGTCTTCGAGGTGAATGATTCTCTTTAAACGACTGCACCCTTACATTCTTTCATTGTTTACAAAAAATCCATGTCGATGTTACCTTCGTAGCTTCAAGCAAAAACTTAAGATGCAGAAACAGAATATAGAGCTCATAGCAATTTAACCATCATGAATTTCAATGCTACAGCATTAATGTTTCATCTAAACTGGAAATCTAATCATAAATTATCATATCTTAATATCTACTTACCTCTTGTCTTCAGACAATTTCGCAACGATAATGAAGCCAATTTAGCGATTCGGTGATACACTAATAATCATTAAACATTTAAAACACACAACAAATTTCTTTAGAGCAAACATGTTTAGGCATACTTTATGAGTATTGTGCTCCTACGAAATTATACACCAATAATGTTGAAAAGCAAGCGTTCAATATTAATCTTGCAGCATGTGCTTCCATCTGTTCCGTTGATATGTTCATTGCAATTCAATTTTAGTAAAATATTTCTCAACTAATATGGGAGAATTTTACAAAAATGATCCACGATGTGTAACTTTTATAGTTTTCAAATTTAGTTCGTAGCTTCAAGCAAAAACTTAAGATGCAGAAACAGAATATAGAGCTTATAGCAATTTAACCATCATGAATTTCAATGCTACAGCATTAATGTTTCATCTAAACTGGAAATCTAATCATAAATTATCATATCTTAATATCTACTTACCTTTTGTCTTGAGACAATTTCCCAACGATAATGAAGCCAATTTAGCGATTCGGTGATACACCAATAATCATTAAACATTTACAATACACGACAAATTTATTTAGAGCAAACATGTTTAGGCATACTTTATGAGTATTGTGCTCCTACGAAATTGTACACCAATAATGTTGAAAAGTAAGCGTTCAATATTAATCTTGCAGCATGTGCTTCCATCTGTTCCGTTGATATGTCCAATGCAATTCAATTTTAGTAAAATATTTCTCATCTAATAAAGGAGAATTTTACAAAAATGATCCACGATGTATAACTTTTATACTTTTCACATTTTCTCAATTACCTATAACTTGATGAAATGTTACAAGTATAGAAAAATTTTCTGTCCTCTATTCAAAATTCGTTACCGATATTGGTTTCTGTGACCCCCCGCCCTCCTCCAACAAAAAAAATTGACAGTGCGCCATTGCACCATATGCTTGCCCTAGTGATGAATAATAACTTATACAATAAACGATAAAAGAGCACAATGGAGAAAGTCTTTTTGGTGAAAACATATAAATATTATCATTATAAATCTTATTTTGACTGTCGTTACTGCAAACGTGTGACTTCTTGGGACTTTGGATATTTAAATATATATGGCACCAATTTTTCCTATTTTACGCTACTTACTTTTTGCTAGAAATGAGCACTTTTATTTCTGTTAATGAAATAATACAAATCATAGTCATATTACCAATTATCATGTTTACATTATAAAAGGAAAACTTTTAAATACTACGAAAATGTCAAATATTAAATCTATCCAAACGGATACCTGCTTGAAAAGGAACGCTACAATCTTTCGAATTAAAACTCATTCATGTTATTCCAGTAATCTTTTCCCTAAATAAACTTTTAGCTCAGACAACTCATCTAACTTCTCGTTAAGTTAGAAGAAGCATAAGCTCAAATCAAACTTTAAGCATCTTCATCGGAGATGCCTCTTTTTTCAGAGTACATGAAGAGAATTGGACCGTTTGAAATACAATTCATAAATTCTTGGTCATTGGCTCACTGACAACTGGCAAAAGCAATAATTCAAATTCGGAGGTTATTTGCTGATTATTGATTGGAATTTTTAATTTCATTATCTGCTTCAAGTAATGGACAAAAAGGATGAAACATACTACGACAAACAAAGATATCTTGCAAACTCAACACAGCTATGAGCTCGATGGAAAAAATCAAGACACAATAATTCATTTGGTGATGTTTTGAGTCTATAAATTGTGTCCTGGGAAATGTTAACAACAAATGCAATATAAAGAATTGCAGCATGTGCTTCAATCTGTTCCGTTGATATGTCCATTGCAATTCAATTTTAGTAAAATATTTCTCAACTAATAAAGGAGAATTTTATAAAATGATCTACGATATATAACTTTATAGTTTTCACATTTTCTCAATCACCTATAAATGATGAAATGTTACAAGTATAGAAAAATTTTCTGTCCTCTATTCAAAATTCGTTACCGATATTGGTTTCTGCGACCCCCGTCCTCCAACAAAAAAAATTGACAGCGCGCCATTGCACCATATGCTTGCCCTAGTGATGAATGATAACTTTGTACAATAAACGATAAAAGAGCACAATGGAGAAAGTCTTTTTAGTGAAAACATATAAATATTATCATTATAAATCTTATTTTAACTGTCGTTACTGCAAACGTGTGACTTCTTGGGACTTTGGATATTTAAATATATATGGCACCAATTTTTCCTATTTTACGCTACTTACTTTTTGCTAGAAATGAGCACTTTTATTTCTGTTAATGAAATAATACAAATCATAGTCATATTACCAATTATCATGTTTACATTATAAAACGAAAACTTTTAAATACTACGAAAATGTCAAATA